GTTTAGGGTTTCAGGGTTTAGAGGTTGTGGGTTCCTGGTTTCGGGGTTTCATTAAAGGTTCTATAAGGTTTTAGGGGTTTAAGGCTGTGGTGTTTAAGGTCTATAGGGTACGGGGTTCAGAGTTTAGGATGGGTTTTGTAGGTTTTGAGGTAGGTTTGAGGTTTCAAGGGACGATTTGCCGCGAGTATGATATACTTGTGAATAATCCCAAAAGCTGTTGTTTCAAGGTTATACCTCTTACATCCTTACATGATTAGTATGGGATCATAAGCCGGTATTCCTTGACAGTCATTTTGGAGTCTCCATGTAGGGATGTTGAGGGTTTGGGGTTTCGGGTTGACGGTTGACGGTAGCTTCCCGAATAGAGGCCGCCCTGAGTGACAGTACGCTGGGGACCCGTTCGTCGGCGGTTCTTCGCCTTCGAGGCACAGAACTGCGTAAGGGTATCGAGTATGGGCCAACTGACCGAGACGCCCACGGAGGTCAAGCTCCTCTTGCGGGACCCACACCAACCGCTCTCCAGTAGCGGCGTCCGCTGCTGCTCGTTCCTCTGGAGAAGCCAAAGTGGGACTCCCAGACTTCCAGGAAGGTGAAGACGATACGATTCGAACCCATGGACGAGGCTGTCAGTGAAGAGGTCCTTCCGGCTTCTTATGACGATGAAATTGGTGACATTACTGACATGACCCATGCACTTCAGGACGCGGAAATCTTCACCAGATGACCTTAAGCAATTACGGGCCGGAACTTCTCGTCGGGATCGGGGCATTTCCTGACCTGTAAGCCAGAACACATCAACCCAAACCTATTAAATAGTTTTATGTACACCTGAATCATTGCCAATACTGTTCCTGAACGCTAAACCCTAAACCCTAAACCCTAAACCCGAAACCCTAACTACTGTTCCTGAGGTTTAGGACTCCTCATTATCACTATGCTATACGATACCCCAAAGTACCAACGCCCTTAGCCTCCAATGAAAAAGCCCTCGTTCGCCCTCCAGCAAGTGAGGACCTTGAACCTGAACCCTCAACCCTTGCAGCAGACAGAAAAATCACCCAGAAACAGCCCTAAACTTTCAGTAATGAAAAGGCGTGTGGTTTAGGATTCTCTTGCATCTACAAGGTCCCGGAGTCTTATAGGTACTTCGAGTTTGGGTTTTAGGGTGTGGGTTTAGGGTTTAGGACTCTTGCAGCATTCTGAGCCGATGGGTTTAGGATGGAACTACAACAGATTAGGGTTAGGGTTTAGGGTTTCGGGTTTAGGGTTTAGGGTTTAGGTGCTTACTGCACCGTGGATGTCCTCGGGAGCTATTGGGAACTGCTTCTGTAACGTAGTGGTAACCCCAGACCGTTTTTTTCACATTCCGATGACTGAGTTATGGTTTCAAACAAATCCCAAGGGATTGCATAAAGCATAACGACTGAGTTACGGTTTCAAGCAAAGCCCAAGGGATTACCTAAAGCATCACTTTCATTCTGCATCCAAGGGGGACAGTAGCAGTAGCAACAGCTTCAACACCCATAGCCCCACACGTCACACCTGGCTGCAGGGGAAGCTGGTCGTCGGCTTAGCTTTATGGGAGTTTCCAAAAATTAGGG